GATATTTGACTTTCTCCTGCAAACTGAAAGGTTTTGAACGAGCGATAGTGTCGATGAATAGATAAATCTTTAGCTCTTTGCTCTTGAGCTTTTAGATAATAGGAAGCTGTTGGTCTTGTTTTGTGAAGGAGATTCTCAAGACAACAATTTTACCGTTTTATTTGCAGAGTGTGTAGATATTTGCATCAATTATCTGATGTCTTATTAGGGTTCAATATGTGTAGATAAAAATTATCCTAGCAATAGCTCAACAGTGATCGTCCTCCTGTTGTAGTTGAGCGTATAATGCCTTTTGGACAAACTTCTTTTGTGTGTTTATTGTCTCTGGATATCTTGCAATTAACCTGAGGTTTAAGGGGAAAAGTTGGTTGCATATTCATGTATTCTTGTTGTTCTTTCCATTTTAACTGTCACCTCTTTTTATGAATCTGTTTACTGATTGGTGGCTGTTTTTTATAGGTATAAGTTGGGATTTTGTCCAAACGGCCCTGATTGTAGATACAGGCATGCAAAGCTGCCAGGACCTCCACCTCCCGTGGAAGAAGTTCTTCAGAAGATTCAGCAGCTGACTTCGAATAACTATGGAAATAACAGATATTTTCAAAATCGTAATAATCAACAAACAGATAGATCTCAATTCCCTCAAGGATCAAATGGTATGCATCAAGTAGGAAGAAGTACAGAGTCTGGTAATATTCATCAACAGCCACAGCAAATAGAGCAGTCTCAACAGCAGGGAAGCCAAGGTCAAATGCAGAATATTTCAAATGGGCAGCAAAATCAAGCTAGTAAGACAGCCACACCACTGCCCCAAGGAACATCTAGGTGTGTTCCAACAAGGTTTTAAATTGGTGAAAGAATACATGTATTACTGTACCGGCATTATTTTAAGAGATTTGTCCACGTCAGCTTGTAATAATTGTTTATCTGGATTTAATTGCTTTTTTTTTTCCTCTCTCTGGATGATGTATACAATACCTTTTTTCATACTCATATGTTCTTTTGGATGTGAGACGAATTGGCTTGAACGATATCAAATGTTCTTTGCCAATTTGTAGGCACTGATTGTTTTGAGGCTTGTTCAGTTTATCATAGAGCATTTCATTATCACGTATAGCTAACTTACAAGATATTCATATGTATAAGATCCCCTTTTAAGCCATAGGTGAAGTTGGTCAAAGGGAGATGCAACATTTGAAAAATTTAGGCTTTTTTTTTTCTCTAACAAATTAGATAGTGCATCACATGCATACTATTCTGTTGCTTTCTCTTTGCAAACTAGTATTGTCAATAGAAGTGAAGTTTGCTGTATCTGGAGCTTGCACTTTGTTATGGCAAATTATAAGACTTTTTGAGTAGTTTGTATATTGGAGGTTGATCACACTGCTGTGTGTGTAAGGAACATATTCACAGTGTGAACTTTACTGGAATAAGGGCTTTAAATTGAGTGTTTTTTTTCTTTTTTCTGTTAAATATTGTATGTAATCAAGAAATGTGTGCTGATAAATCCATATGCAAAAAGAAGTGCTTTTACCCCTCATGTTAGCTTAGTTTGTTTATTTTATCGCTTTAGAAATTGTAAGCTGCATAAAGGTTACATTTCCATATTCGGTTTTCATCTTGTAATTCGACCTTTGAGGAAAAACTGCTATGAACTGCGGATATAGCATTTCTTATCATTCTTCTTTTGTTGATTCGGGGACCTAATTATGTCACAAATTAGCCACAGAGCATTTTGTGCTCCACGCTTTCTTATCGGGGCTATAAGTTTGTTTAGTATAAGCAAGCAGTATGCACGTCAACTGAATACAAATGGATGCCCATGTAACTGAGATTCATTCTCGACATTATCTTCTTTGCATGCTCACGAAGCTTGACTTCCCTTGGTTTCCTTTACCTTAATATTGGTGAGCTTCTGTATGGAGTTATTTGAAGCTATTAGCTAGGGACTAGGAGATAAATACTAGAACTTTTCTTTCAGAGAGAGATGTTCTTAGTAAAAATATTTTGTGGTTGTATCCCGATGATCCACGATTGTTTTACGATTAATTTTCTGAGGAACATCTCTCTCTCTCTCCTCTCTCTCTCTCTCTCTCTCTCTCTCTCTCACACACACACCTAAACACA